AGAGATTCCATTGTTTGTACTTACCCCTCCCTGAGGTTGGCCTAAGGAGCACCAGGGAGCACTGAGTGGGCATTAGGGCACTGAGTGGGCATTAGGGCACTGAGTGGGCATTAGGGGACTGAGTGTGGCATTAGGGCACTGAGTAAGCATTAGGGGACTGAATGGGGCATTAGGGCACTGAGTGGGCATTAGGGCACTGAATGTGGCACTGGGGGACTGAATGGGATATTAGGGGACTGAATGGGGCATAGGGGACTGAGTGGGGCATTAGGGGACTGAGTGGGGCATTAGGGGACTGAATGGGCATTAGGAGACTGAATGGGGCTTGATCCAACTCTGCCTTTAACTTCTCTATGATGTTGGGCAAAACGTGCAATCTAAATTTCTCACATATTAAGTGAGAAGACTGGACCAGAACAATGGTTCTAAAACATTTTAAAGCTTCAGAACCATCTTTTTAATGGAGGCTAATATGGTATCCCAACAGATGAAAGTGAAGCTGCTTTGGCCCAACAGGAACGGGGTGCAAGTCCTGCTGCCTGTCCTTCTGTCCATCCCACATGAGTCTCATGGGCTCTGAGGGAAGCAGAAACTGATTCTATTCAGTTGGAACACACCATGACTTGGGGTGGGGTGCTGGGTGGAAAGAAAAGGGGGAGTGAGTCATAGGTGGATTGAAAAATAAATAAATGCCATAGGTGTCTTACTAAATCCTGTTTCTTTAGCAGTTAGTACTCGCTGTTGGTGACTGGCGTTGCCCAAAAGGTTGGCTTCCAAAGTTGATTCCAACTCTGGTCCTCACAGTACAACAGTTACCTAATGTGGAATCTATGATTCTAACAGAAAGAATCTGAGAGGTGGAGCTGCTCACAATCTAGGTGCCTAGAGTCGCTGCATTGTTTGAGCTCATGACCTGGTGTTTATTTGCATCGAATGGGTAAGTTCCTACTTGCCCATGGGTGAACCATCTTGGAAGGTTAGTGACCAACTGGGAGGGATGCTGCATTTGCTCAGAATGAGGGGCCTGAGGCTGAGACCCCAAGCTGGGGTCATGGAGAGGAGGCCTCTTAGTAACTGGTCTAGGCTGGGAGGCTGGGAGGCTGGGAGGCTGGGCTCACCTCGCCTTGAGCAACAGCAGAAGGCAATGTTTTCAAGTTGTGCTTCAACGAAATGCCATTCGTTGTCTCTCTACCCTACTAGGATGCAGGGAGAAAAGACAGGGGAGGAGGGCCAAAAATCACTTCATTCATGTTCGCTGGTGAATGAAGAAACATATTCTGTGACCGGATTAAAAAGTTATCCTTTTCTTATCCAGTCTGAACGTCAAGTAATGTCTGAGCTCAGACCGAGTCCCATAACATTGCTCGTCTTCAGCAACCTCCAAAGGGTGCAAAAATGGCGACCCTTACCTCCCCCAAACCCCTTCTCAACCCTCTCTTAACCATCCCTTCCTTCTCTGACCTTCCCCACCCTCCCTCTCCCCCCCACAAAGAATCAAGCGGTGGCCACGTGCACGCAGCCTCCCTTCCCATCGACCCTGCACATCAGTCCCGTCTCTGTGCTTGGGCGTCCCCCTTCCTTGCAGGGAGCCGGTCATACTGGCACTTGGAAGGAGCAGCGGGGCTGGAGTGGGAGGGACTTTGTTACCTTCTGCCTCTGGAACACATGAGTGAGGGGAGCCACCTGGCAGTCCTTGTGCGCCCCGAACACCTTGCACAGAGAGCAGGTGGGCACCTCGCAGTTCAGACAATAGATGTTGATGTGCTCCTCTTCATGCTCCTCGCACCTGGGCTGGTCGGTCTTCTTTTCTGGTCTGGGAGGAGGGGGCAGGTGGATGTGTCAGCTCCCATGGAGGCAAAGCACAGAAGGGTGAGCAGCATAGCAAACCCCAGCTAACCCCTGGACTCCCCAACAACCCTATTCCCGAGGACCCCCAGTTTTCCTACGGGTATGGCAGTGATGTGCTGACAAATTTCTAACAATCAGTCTGGGGTCGGGATGGGGACAGTAGAGGCTCTGTCTGTAGTATTTCACACTTTCGTGGTGTGAGTATTCCCAGCATGGCCGATTTCAAGTTACTGAAGGTAGCTTGTTCAATCCCTGAAAATTACCAGTGGGCTTTGCGTCAGGAGTGCGCCCTAGCACTGCCTCCACAGCCCACCAGTTTCTCAAGAGACCTCCTGCCATTAGCACAGAAAATTAAATGTAAATAACTTGCTGAAGAGTTGGCAGTGGTAGTGTCTGCTCAGTGAATGGGAACAATTATACTGAACAGGCAATAAGAAAAATGCAAAACGCTGTTCCGGGACATTGGGGGTACCTCGGAAGTGCAAATCCCACAGAAAGTCCCCAGGTTCTAGCTTTCCCAGCAGGTCAGCACCAACCACACCTTAGCAAAGCGCACATAATCATGGAGCATTGGGTTTGTATGCGCTCGTGACACGAGCAAGCAACGAAGAACTGAACATGAGAGACGGGGTAGGTGACAAGTCATTGCTACTAAGGATAACCCGTTTCCATGAAATGTGTGAGCTCCTGACTTGATTTCTGCCATCTGCTGGAAGCTAACGCAGAAAAGTAAACTCCACAACTAAGAAAATTATGCCCCTTCACAGGTTTGTCGGTTTCCTCTGCTGGCATATGAGTTCTACCAGGTCAGGGCCATGGTCTTTTTTATTTACTTACTTATTTATTTATTTATTTATTTATTTATTTATTTATTTATTTATCTACTTATCTATTTATCTATTTATTGTTTCTTGCTGGATCCCCAGTCCCCAGAACAATGTCTTGCCTAGAGGGGTACTCAGTAAACATTCGTTGAATGAATAAGCGAGAATTGAAAGAGAATTTGCCAGGTTAATGGACAGTACTCCCCGTGCTCTAACATCAAACCCTTCACCTGGAGAAGGCATATGAAATATGGGGAAAGCCCGGAGCACTTATGAGTGGCAAAGGAAGAGACCAGACAATGGCCTGAAGACTCCATTTATACGTGACAAAGCCCTCTGATGGTTGTCTAGAGGTTAGGAGTGGCAGTTTGGTCTCTGTTTGGTCAAAGGGTTCTCTACCTCTAAAACCTCCCTCCCATGTATTTATACCTTGTAGTAATTATCAAGTAACTGTTTGGAGCACATTTTCTGGGAAATGGCACAGTCGATGCTACTGCGGCTCATCTTCCTAGGCTTTCTCTGAAGGCAGCCCGTGTCCCTTGTGCTGCTCTGTGGTCAACAGCTCTGACCAGAGACAGTGTTACAGAACTCAGGTATATGCAGTATATGCAAACACTGAAAATGTGGCAATAGCTGTAAGGCTGTATATTTAGTTTTTGATTGTGCTTATTTATTTTTTCATAAAGCAATACAGACTGAGAACTACTTCCTATATTCCTTATGAGGCTTTTCTTGTTTAGGTGGCAATATAAACCCAAAGGCATCCCCCACTTATAAATGAGTATATAATGAGAAACTTTAGACAGCTTAAAAGACATAACAGACTTGGGACAAATATGGCATATAGAATAAAGGTGTAAATGCCCTTTCGTGAGGTGAGGGTGGCCAAGCTCACAGTTGTGGTTCAGGGCTCAATGCCAAATGCTGGCTGGCAGTGGCCTTAGCCATTCAGTGCAGGCTGACTCAAGGAGTCTGGAGGCTGCTGCGACCTACAGGTTGGTCTCTGGTCTCTGAGGTCGCTGGGACCATCCTAGAGTTTCCTGAACGGTGGGCATCTGGCCTTCAAGAAGCATTTCAGGCAGTACCTTTAGAGTCAAACTGATCTTAAAGCTTAATTTCAGCTCAACTTTTCCATGTGGTGGCTGTGTGGACTTAGGCAAGTTACTTAATCTCTTTCAGACTCAGCTTTTACTCATATCTAAAAATTGGATTAAATAAACACATGCATTTATATTTTTATTTGTGTTTCCTGTTCAAATACCACTAAAATAACAGGACGCAGTACTATTTGAATGTTTAAAATTAAATATATGAATTACTTTGAATAAAATATTTAAAACTTTCAATAAGTTGTTAATAATAATAATGATAATGATAGTCACAACCTCACAGGATTGTTATGAGAATTCAAGAATAACACATGATTCACGTGTAAAGCACCCTGAAGAGTGGTTGACACATACTCAGCACATATCAGTTTTACTTACTATGTTTTAAAGTTAATTATTATGTTCATTACTAATATCAGTGAGATTAGGTCCTTCTCTTGTCAGCCCCATGCAGAATTCTAGATGAGACGGCCAAGTTTTGTCGAGACCTACGATCTCTAGCCTTTCTGTGTGGGAGGTCAAAAATGACCAGCTCCTTCTCTTTCTGTCCCCCAAACCCAAAGACCGTGGGTCAGAGCTGGGTTCATCTCACTCTGTATATCCCAAGTTATTCCAGAGTTACCTAATGTACCCTGAAGCTGAGGGTTCTGGGCTGGTAAGGTTGCCAGCCTCCAGGGAACAACTGGGTTTATTGCCCAAACATGTGCGGAGCCCTCTGTCAACCTGCGGTTTTGCTACCAAGTCAAAATGTTCCAAAGGCAAGTCTCAAGTTCAAGAAACAACAACCTAAGAAGAATTTGATCATCGCAAAAACACCACTCGTACACTCAGCTGTCAGCCTCATTGTTGGAAATTTGGTCATTGCATGTGTATAATTTGCTCACCTGGACACTAGTTTTGGCAGCTGCACCACACAGACTTTATAGTTAATGTAAGGAGGTATCTTATAGCTTTACTAATGCTACAAGTTTTAACATCTCCTCTTCTCTGGATTTCATAACAATTATTGCTATTATTTCACGTTTCAAGCTCTCACTGTGGCAAGTAACAAAACAGGAAATTATTTCCATAACCAGAACATGTAAGAAGATGTATGGTGTTGCTTGAACAGCCGTCACTTACGGGGAAACTATTCTGTGCACAGCACGGTGCTAGGCACTGAATCGGTTGTTATATAAACTCCCTTACTAATTGGTTGGTTGTTAATTGGATGGTTAATTTTTTAAGAGACAGTGTGTGTATTTGCATTTTAAAGTGATGAAACATAATGAAATCAGGCCTGTAAAGCAAGAGCAGCGATAGCACTTTCCTTCTTCTCAAGAGACTTTGGAAGAAACAAGGGAAATAGACTCCGTATCTCTGCAATGTCATCAGCAATCATTCTTTTCCCCCCAGTTCTGCCTACATCCTGGCACTATCTAATTGAATCTAAGCAGAAACTAATAGTCATAACAATTACAAGAATTATGTGAGAGTTATAGAACAGCTTTCCTTCTAAGAGTGCAAGGCTCTTAGAGCCCTGCAGCTGTTCCATAAATACATGTCTCCTCATAAAAATCACAATAAGGTCATTTCTATATACTCTCAGTTCTGCGACCAAGCTTTGTGGACCCGACTCACCTGTGTACAACTGAAAAGGGGCTCTTTGCACCATGCCTTCTAGGATGGAAGTCCTGCAGTGTTGTCTCCAGGAAAGGAACTCTATAGCCAATGTGATTCGATGAGTAAGAAGCACCTTCCCCTTCCCCTTTTTCTTAAAGATTGCGTGTATCTTAAAGATATACTGCATATCAGTCATTCAGCAGGTGAATGCTGAGAGTATGCAGCAGACACAAGCTAGAGAATAGAGAAATGTAATCTGAACTCCATCTTTGTTTTTCTCTTTCTTGTCTCTAAACTTGCCTTGTAACATACCAGGACATGTTCGAGAATTTAGTTTTTATTGTTATCATCTAGATAATTTTAAAGTAAGACTGTGTGAAGTAGAAATGGACTACAGTAAAACCTTGGATTGCAAGTAACGTAGTTTGCGAGTGTTCTGCAAGATGAGCAAACATTTCTAATACATTTTAACTTGGTAAACGAGCTATGTCTCGCAATACAAGTAGTTTGTTTCCGGAACGAATTATGCTCACAAACCTAAGGTGTTACTGTAGTTTGAAAGGTGCCATTCCTGTTCATTTTCTATTAAGTTTTATGCTATAGTTTTTCTGCTATGTAGAATCTGGAGGTACAAAGGACCTGTGAAGTCAGAAATATCTACAGTGTGTGTAATACAGGGCTTGGGTGGGGGGCAGCATTGTGCTTCTTTCAATATCACCATCTGGACTGCATTAGGGTTGAGTGAACTTCAACCGTACAAGCATGGGCACCAGCTCCCTTCTCTCTTTTCATGAGCAACTATCACTTCCATGGGGAAGAACTGACTTGGAAAAACATTTTCCTATAAAACAATTAGCCTGTGATAGGTAAACAAGCATTCAGAGTCACAACCCACTTAGACAAACAAAGAAGCAAACAGGAATGAGCTTCCAGTGGGGTTGATACAGGGAAGAGCCATACCTGGTGGACTCCTGCTTGTAGATGTCAATGATATTTTCCACCAGCAGGTTCCTCTGAAGTCCATATATCCCATGTCTGTCCAAAACCACTTCGTGTCTACAGGATGGGCAGCGGAATCGGCCCCCTGATGCCACGGTGGTGCCTCCTCTCGTGGGCAAGTACGGATTAGAGGCCTGTTCTTGCCAAGCAGGAAAAGAGGAATTGAGTAATGCCACAGGTAGCCTTTCTTTTCACTCTCTATCTCTACAAACAACATCAACTTCTGCTTTAAGCTTGTCCTAAGATAACCCCGTAGGGCCTATCAGCAATTGGTCCTGAAATGCAGGGCCACAATCACTTCAGCACAAAGTACTTTTCTGTCCAATGTTTCATAACCAAAAGTTCCAGCCAGAAACTCTAACATTAATGCCTTGGGCAGTAATTCATTTACAATTTTGAAACAGATTCCATTTTTTAAAACAAATATGATTCTTACTATTGAAATAAAATTAGATTTGGAAATAAGGAAGAGATGGACAGCAAAGCACAAAGCAAATCATTAAAATTTTTAAAAATTTTTCTTGAAAATGAATGCAGCCCTTTAAAATTTTCTAAAGGAATGCACCTCCACATTAAGCACTTGATCCAGAGGAGACCCTTTTCCGCCCACTACGTTCCAAACAGACTTACCTGGAAAATGTCACTGGCGCATTTCCTACACAGGTTATGCTGACAGGGGAGAATGACCACGGGCTTGGTGAACATCTCTAAGCAGATGGGACAGATGAGTTGTTTCTCCAAGTTATCCATGGTCTGCTGCTCTTTGGAAAAAGACTTGTAATTCAAAGATGCGCTCATCTCCTGGCCGTCCCCGTGTCACTGCCCGGGAAAGGGTGCTTCCAATGGTTTCTACAAGCGATTCCTAGAAATAATTCCAAGGATTGTGTGATCGAGTGCCCTTCACGTTTCTTTCAGTGGAGGACATTGTTTCAGGCTCAGGTTCAGAGTGGGAGCTGGTGCTGTTTTTAGCAGCCGGGGGTCACGTGGCAGTGGGCTTTCTTGTCCATATAAGCCAGTGACAGGAGGATGGATTCTGACAGGTGACAGAGAGCAGGAGCCAGCATTCTTGCCCCGAGGGAGTGAAGAGAGTGAGTGGGAAGGGGGATTACAAACCCCATTTAGACGGGATTGTGAGGAGAAGGAGGTCAAAGCTGACAGTTGTCATCAACAAATGCGAATGTGCATGCCACCGAGTCACTAAGCCCTGCCCACTTTGAGCACTCAGTAAGAATGGGTGCTGGGTTTCTCCAGGACCAGGAGGGCAGCGCCCAGGAGTCTTACTGTATAATGAATGCCACTTCCGCCTGGAGAGTTCAGGAAACCAGCCACCCAAAGCAGCATGATCACATGTCTTAGGTTCAAACAGAACGTGTTCTGAAAATCATTATCCTGGTTTCACAAGGGCAATCATCTAAAAAGACTTGCTTAATGTTAAGTATTTCACCTTTGCAAGGGTTGTGGTAGTAGAAAAATTCCAAATTAAAAACTCATTTCAAATCTTTTCACCATAAAAATGTCCACAAAATAAAAAAAAATCCAGACACCAGTAGATGATCCAATTATTTTGTAAAAGTTGTATGATAAAACTCTAGTATGTTCTTTTCTCTTTTATGTTCTTTCCCTCTTCCATCCTTTCACCCACCCCCACCCCTACACATACCCCAAAACACAAAGAAAATTAGACCATCTTTAAAAGTTTAAATTTCGTTTGCAATAACTATCAGTAATGAGGTGGTAACTGGCACGTGGGGGAACAGACCATTATTTCATTTTGACATATAACGGGTGACAGATATCAGTGCCATTGCCAACTGAAGTGAAAATGGAGTCCTGCTTGCATACCTGTTTTTGTATCTGGGCTGAAATACCCACACCCCATTGCATTTGCCTTATCCTCCAAGTTGATTTTTGGTCTGCTCTTGAGTCATAAATATCAATTCTGATATTTGCCAGGATTTTGTGAAACAACTGTTTTTATCAATACATGTTTTATGGAAAAACTAAAAACCAGATCAAAAATGTAAAAGAAATACCTATTTTTTATGTGATGAATTTGCAGCTTCATTTCTCCTTGATTTTAAAAACCTCAGTGAACAAATTTTGCTAACATATTCCCAGTGTGCACTTGCTGTAGAGAGTAGGTTGGTGTGACTGGTTATGTGTAGTCTTCATGCTGTGTGCACTGAGAGGTTACTGAGAATCTAAAAACTTCCATTAACTAATAATAGGCTATATACGAGGTCAGACAATTAAGTTCGTGAACTCATCCTAGACAAAGTGGTACATACCTCACTGCTGAATATCACTATGGTCACCTTCGAAGTACTCCCCTTGGGAAGCTATGCACCGATGCCAGTGCCTAGTCCACCCTTCAAAGCAATTTTGGAACTCTTTTTCTGGAATGGCCATCAGAGCTATTGTCGTATTTCCCTCGATGTCCTGAATTTCATCCAAATGTCTTCCTTTCAATATTTCCTTTATCTTCGGGTAAAGAAAGAAGTCATTGGGGGCCAGATCAGGTGAGTAGGGAGGGTGTTCCAATCCAGTTATTTGTTTACTGGCTAAAAACTCCCTCACAGACAGTGTTGTGTGAGCTGGTGCATTGTCATAATGCAAGAGCCATGAATTGTTGGTGAAAAGTTCAGGTCATCTAATTTTTTCACGCAGCCTTTTCAGCACTTCCAAATAGTAAACTTGGTTGACTGTCCACTTGGTACAAATTCATAATGAATAATCCCTCAATATCAAAAAAAGGTTAGCAACATTGTTGCAGCAAGTTTACAAACTTATCAGACCATACACACACACACACACACACACACACACACACACACACACACACATATATATGAATATATACATATATGTTCATAAACATTTCAGGGAACTTTGGCGAATTTTGATATTCCTTTTAATGTCTATTCAGCAACTACAGTGAAGGAGGGAATTGATGAGCTCTTTTCACTGCATTAATTCAGTTCAGCTAGCCTGGGTGGTTAACTGTGTTTATTATTTCATGGGCTATGGAGGAGGTCTGAAAGTTTCTACTGTAAAAGACCTTGCAACCTAAAGAAAAGTACTTAAACTGATAATATACGTAGCAGAGCCTATCCTTATAAGAGGAATTCACTCTTTCAGGAAACATTCATGAGTGTTTATCATGTGTTTCCATTGTGCTTGGCTCGGTGGATTGAAAGACAAACTAGACATAGGTCGTTGTCCCCAAGGAGCTCAGTCTAACAGTAGAGAGATGAGACATGCATATCAGAATCACAGTACAAAGCAACAGGAGATAAAGAGCTGCAGAATTTCAGAGCTGGAGGACTTAGGAAGGCTTCATGGGGGACTAGCATTTGAATTGCTTCACTGAGGAATTTAAATGGATGGATGTGGAATTAGGTGGGGCGCAGGTGGGGCTTCCCAGGAGGTACAGAAGCTGAGACAGTGAGCATAGGAGCCCTGGGGACACTCAGAGCTTTGGGCTGGAGTACAGAGCATCCTGCCGCCTCATCGGCAGGCCATGCACACTGGGCTGAAGACTTTCTAACACTTAATAAATTAGGCAACAGAAAGTCATTAAAAGTTTCTCATAGGGACGTTTCCATGAGAGCTGTGCATTGGTTAGATTAATCTTGCAATGATGGTGGAGATAGATTAGAGTGACAGTGATCTGGCTAAAGACCAGATAATAGCCTAGGTGAGAGGTCACCGGAGCCCAGGTGGTGGCCGTGGAGAAGGAAAGGGGGAAATGGACTCTGGGGCAGCTGTGAAGCAAAATCCACAGAGTGACTCAGAAGTCCTGAGTCTGAGCAACCAGCGATGATGGGGAGGGAGGCTGCATTTTGCATCAGAAGACAGACCCATCCAGCTTCAATGTCCACCTCGCTTTGTGATTTGGGAGAGTGACCTCACCTAGCTGGATTTCAGTTCTTTTATCAGTAAGTGGGTGGAGTTCATAACCTAACTTAGGAGAATTTGTAGGGGGAAAAAAAGCCCTCTGAAACAGCATTAATTTTGAGATTGAGAATCCCCAATTTGGTGATTTGATGTATAGCCTCTCCTTTTTTTCTCCTTCTGCTCCTTCTTGCTCTCTGCCTTTCAGTTTTTCTTAGAATTGGCACTGAGGTCTACCCAGGAAACCAGCAAGAAACCCCCTAGGAATAAGAACCAAGTTGGTGGGTAATCATCACCTTCCCCTCCTCTCCTCCTTCTCCATCCCTCACGCCTCCCCACTCTCAGAGACCAGCAATCTATGTGAGTTTGGAGTGGGGCATGGGAGTAACACTCTTCTCTAGGGAGGAACCAGAAAATTTCCGTCTGCTCCCAAATCACTCACAGAGTCTGAGAGCCAGGGAGAATTCTGGAGCTGAATCAGAATCGAAGTCAGCTTCAAGGTGCTGGGATTGGGAGTGGACCTGGGCCTCCTCAGAGACACGAAAACCAGCGTAGTCTCCTGAGGTATCCGGGACAGTGAAGGAATGGTACGTGACTCTCTCCCCTTCTCCTATCCCGATCCCACCTTATACTAAGATGGGGGGTTGAAACCAATCGGGGACAATTTACGCAAGGAGCTGCCTTAGTTGGAGGCCCCGATTACCCCTTATTTCTGAGTCCCACCAGACTGAGGCAGGAGATAAAAGAGAGGCTGAAATAAAACCACCTCTACTCTCATCTCCTTTAGCAGCTCCCCAATCCCCCAGGTAAGTCAGAGGAAGAAAGATGGGCCCCTAAGAACTTGAGTATCACCCAACAGTGGACTTGGCACTAAGGGGTGATCACAGAAAGAGACAACATTGGACCTTTCAACTTCTAGCAACCAGGCCAGATGAACCCAGATTCAGGGGCAAGGGCATAGGAGTAAAATGTAGATATCAGTGTGTTCTTCATCTGCTATTTTTAATACTATACCACCACAATACTAAATATGTGCAGAGTACTGATCACTTCTTAGAATTGCTCTAATAGGCATTATTATCTTCCTTGAGCTAACTGTGGCTCAAGCAAAGCTAAGTAGTTGCCCAGAGTCATAAGGCTACTAGTTGTAAAGCAGATTAAGAGACACATCTTTTGACTATAGGGCTCATGACCTCACCCACTAAACTACACCACAACCATGCTGTCCATTAAAATTTTCTGCAATGATGTAAATGTTCTATATCTGTGCTGTCTAACCTCTAGCCCAGGTAGCTATTGAGCACTTGAAATATGTATAGTGCAACTCAGGATCTGAATTTTAAATTTTATTTAATTTAAACTCATGTTTAAATAACCACATGTGGCTAGCGGTTACCATATTGGACAATCAACCCCAGAACATGAGATATAAAAAAATCTTGGGGGAAAATTGGGATGTATATAAAGGATTCTTCAGCAGGAACTGAGTGGGTCCTCTCTTTTGGTGAATTTTGTACTTCATGGTTAAGGTGTTATGAAACTCCTCTAACCCCGGAATAGTTAGGAGAGCAACATCAACTCTTAATCCCAACTTGCAAAACAAGACAGAGCTTTCTGGGAACAGGAGGCATTGGAAAAGTCCCAGGGAATCAGTGTCAGGAATGCTACCCTTCCTTAAATTTCCAGAATGTCCTGAGAATTTCATTTACCCACGTTCACTTTGTCTCTTTAACACAGATAATTGCAAATCCAGGTAGGTACTTGAAAATAATCCAGGCTTAACTCAAAATGCTAGCCATTCATCAGACAAAACAAAGGGTTTATGGTCAGATGGAGGGTAGAGCTAAAGGGAAATTAAAAATAGATACAGTTTGAGGCAAAGCAGTGAGGAAGATAGAGTGCAGCCATGGTGGAAGAAAAAATAAGAAGAATCTCCTTACAACAAGGAATTGACTCATGACATCTATAAAATATTTAACATTTTCCTCCTGTTTACATTGTCAGTCTGTTCAATTTAACTGTCTACCTGTCAATAGGCAGTTTGGATATGTGATTTTTAAAGTTTTAATAAAAAAAATTTACAAAATCTAAAATCAAAGAGAAATGAACCAACATGTAAAGTACTTAACAGAAGCCAAACCTATGGCATTTCTTTCATTAGATAGTTTACAAACTTCTGGCTGAAAGCGTTTTATCATCTTGATAATTACTCCTTTTCCAAATCTGTTGTTTATACATTTAATTTCATCATAAATCTCTAAGGGAATGTTAGAAAGCAAACATATTGTACTTTCCTCTGAACATTCCTTGGTATAATTCACATGCCAGAAATAAACAATGATAGTCCAATAAGTAGCAAAATCCTTTTGCTAAGGCCTTCCCAGTGGCTACTGTCTGAACTCCTTACCTCTGATCCAGGCCTTCCTTGATTCTACCCTCAGCACACACAATCCCCTCTACCTCCCCTCCAACCCAGCCTTCTAATTGATTTCTCTGAATTCATTCTTGCCTTTTGCAATCTATTTCTCATGTGTCACTCCCTATTTACATCCCATTAGTGGTCATATTACCCCTAGGATAAAGACATTAATTCTCACTGTGGTCCCTAAGGCCTGGCATAATCTGGCCCCTACCTATCTCTCTGAACTAACTGTCTGACCGAAATAAGATGTGAGTGACATATATCTGCCATGTATGTGATTTAAAATTTGTAGTAGCCACATTGAAAATCAGAAACAAATACAATCAATTTCATTAATATATTTTATGTAGCCCCCAAACATATAATCTATTATGATTTCAAAATGTAATCAATATTTTTAAAAAATTAGGTATTTATAAATATAGTTTTACTTCTTCCTTTGCAATCTGGAGGTCTTCTACTTTGTTTGTCTTGCCTTATTGCACTGGCTAGAAACCCTTGGACACCCTTGCTTGTTCCTGATCTTAGGAGAAAAATATTCATGTGATTAAGTATAATGTTAGCTGTGTTTTTCACTGATGCCCTTTGATCAGTTTGAAGAAGTTTCCCTCCCTTCCAAGTTTGCTGACATTTTTAAAAATCAGAAATGGATGTTGAATTTTGTCAAATACTTTTTTGCATCTACTGAAATGATATGTGGTTTTTCTTTTTTAGTCTGTTTACTATGATGAATTAACGTTGGCTTTTGAATGTTGAATCACTCTTATATTCTTGGAATATACCCACTTGGTCATGATGTAGTTTTCTTTCTATATATTGTTGGGTTTAATTGGCTAAAATTTTGCTTAAAATTTTTGCATCTATGTTCATGAAGGATATTGGTTGGCAGTTTTCTTGTAATGTCTTTGTCTGGTTTTGGGATCAGGGTAATGCTGGCTTCATAGAATAAGTTGGAAAGTACTCCCTCGTCTTCAATTTTCTGAATATTTGTTTATAATTGGTATAATTTTTTCCTTAAATGTTTGTTTTCCTTATGAGAGAAATAAATATGAATATATGTGACAGAGCTAAGACTGTACTTGGCTTGTAGGAAGTGCTGAATAAATGTTAGCTGTTAATTTTAAAAATTCACTTGTAATTTCAATTAAGAATGATGTTAAGTGCAGAAAACTTAGAAAATATTTTAAAATCTTAAGAAAATGTTACAGTAATCCTACTACCCAGATCACTACTGTTAACATTTAATGCATTCTCCACTTTTCTACTGATAATTTCTATTTGTTTATATTGTTATTGTTTATATTGCTCTGAACCTATTTTATTCACTTACTATTTGATTATTAACATTTCCCATGTCAATAGAAGTTCTTAATAAATATAATTTTAATCGCTATACACATTCTATTATATGGTCATACCATAATTTATTTAACAATCATTTTGTATTTTTAGAATTGTTCTACTCTCCCTGCACATTACAGTCAAGTATCTCTTTCCTGTACTTCTATATATATTTATATAAACACATATACAAACCCTCAGAATATTCTTTCCAGGCCTTCCATCTGTGGTGTGCTGATATCATACACTGATAATAGCTAGTGTTTATTGTGTGTTTATTATGTGTCAGGCACTGTAATAAGGGGTTTACATGCTGTATCTTAATTAAAAGTAGACACCATATTATCATCCCTATTTTACAAATAAAGAAACTGAAGCACCAAGATGTCAAGTGACTTGCCCAAGGACACCCAGCTAGGGAATGGCAAAGCCAAGAAAGGCCATCAGGTTTCACAGACCACGTGACTCACCATTATGCAAAAGTGTCTCTTGGCTTATACATTTAGACGTTTTATATTAATTCCATTCCACACCTGAGTTGCTGATCCTGAGATTTTGTTTGAGTTGCCCATCTCACCTGCCCAAAACACGTGTTCTTCTCCTGGATTTGGGGTACATTCCTTCCTATTCTTTCCACTTATTACCCATTTCTTGCTCTTTCAGCCATTTGTAGTTCCATTGCCAGCTCCTCCTGTCAGCCAGCTATATAACACCCGTAATCCCACCTGGAAATTGGGACATATCATCTGATAAAAGGATTATTTTCCCTACTTTGTAAATTTGCTATCACAAAAAAATGATGAAGATATATTTTAAGCAAATCACTATACATTCAATTAAAAGACTTTATTGAAAAGATTAAAATGAGATAAAAATGGGTACAGCCCTAAAAATGTAAAGATATACCAATAAAACACAGCAGGTTATATATACATTGGTAACAAAAATGCACAGGTTGCCTATAACTCTAAAATGGACATGAGATTAAAGAATTATCATTTATTAATTATAATCTTCCAAAAGGTAATATCTGTGCCTTTGTCTGGAAGGTTTATGTTTTGTGTTAGAATAGCAGTATGGTTTCAACAACGTTTTTGTGGTTGTATTCCAGAAAATTAGAATAGGCAGAACTTATTGCCAGAAAAGCCTTTGTGTGTGTTCTGCTCAATCTCTGAATCCTTCAGTGAGTGTGAGAGTGTGTGTGTGTGTGTGTGTGTTTCTTGTCTTTGTTTAACAAAATAGACTGACTACACTCAAGGGCAGCCCTAAACAGAGCTTTATTCCAATTAATTCCCTTAGTTCTGGTCTCTCGTTAACTCTCCTAGTTATTTCCCAGGAGGGAATAGCCTTGGAACCCTCCTCCATCAGAAAGCCCTGGCTCCAGGGCCTTTCTCCACTTACTCACCTCTCCTCAGGTACCAGAGGCCTTAGCCCATCCACCTCAGATCTGCCCAGCGCGGGGCACCCCCTCTCTACGCAGTTGAGATGGAGCAGGCTGTCCTTGCATCCTCGGCTCAACGTGTGTCAAGTAGTCAGCGTACTTTTCTAAGTTCTCTGTTTAGTTTTGTTTTTCCATCTGTCAACTAGTCTATTGGCAGCTTTGTCCCGGATGGATCCCTGGAAGTGCAGCCATCAATCAGAAATCAAAAGGAGTGGAAATGGCAAGATGTGACAGCGATCTGTCGCCATTTTTGGAGAGAAAAAGAACCACTGCGAACTTCCCAAAGTTAAGTGGGTCTAAACTTTTAAACTTTGAATGATAAACTGCCAGCATCCATTATCCCGTGTCTGAAAGTTTTACAGAGGGGTAACTTCAAACTCGCCATACCCTTCACTTGCCGGATGGCTGGCTTGCAGCTTCATTCGGAGTTGAGTCGAGAATCGAAAGAAAAACAACCACACGGGACGCAGGGAAAAAACTGGAGGATGCGGGCATCGATCCCGCTACCTCTCGCATGCTAAGCGAGCGCTCTACCATTTGAGCTAATCCCCCACCGCTGGGCACGGCTGCGTATGTCTTCCCCTAGAGAGACGTTAGCGCATTTAGACGTGAGGAAATAATCTCGACCGTGTTCCTGACCTTCCTCCAAAGTAAGGCTACAGTAAGAAAAGTGTATCGTGTCTCCTTCGAGCCGGAATCGAACCAGCGACCTAAGGATAGCCACACAACGCAGTCTACAGTCCTCCGCTCTACCAGCTGAGCTATCGAAGGGAACATGGGTTAGTGTGTCAACTCTTCTTCATAACTTTTAGGCATTTCTTCGCTTCATGTGTTTCCCGCCGAGTTTCTTCTGATTCCCAGGTCCCGTGAGCACAAGATTTTCCTGGGGGACGCCCCACCTCCACGGGGCAGCCGCAGGGAGCCCTCGCGTCTCTGACCCTGCCCGGGGATCTGAGGAGAAAGTCCGAGGCCCCGGGACGCCCGCGGCTGATCCTAAAGGCGGCGTGGCCGCGTCCGGCTTTTTCTGTGTTACTCGGGGGCTTGGGAAACGCCAAACACGGTTTAGAAACAAGCAGAAGGCCGGGACCCGGCGGCCTCCCCGCCGAGCGCAGACTCACTGCCGCGCTTGGAACTTGGACAGAAGTGCCCGCTTCCGGGATTTGCAAGACTTCCAACGAGGGATGGCGCCACAGACCAAAACTGAAGCGATAGCGCGAGGGCTTCCAATTGTTCTTTGGAATGGAATGTGTACTGGAGAAGGGTACCCGGGAAAAGGGCCTAAGTCACGGAAAGTTGGGGGTAAAAAAGCGACCTTGTCTCCTTCGAGCCGGAATCGAACCAGCGACCTAAGGATGTCTTGCCAGGAAGTCAACTACAGTCCTCCGCTCTACCAGCTGAGCTATCGAAGGGACGGAGACTTACGCTGCAAGTTCTAAAATTCAACACGTATAAACCGAACAGCTTCCCATCCGCCGCTGATTTATCTGAGCATGCGTAATCCGAAAGCGGGGGGGGGGGGGGGGGGGGGGGGGGGGTCGGTACGGGCCTGCGTCGTTGTACGCATGCGCAGAAAGGCGACCGGCTCGCCCTCCCGGGAGTTACTGGATTAGTTGAAGCCCCCGAAGTCGTGTGTTTAAAGTTGTCTAGTGTCAAGACTCAGGGGCTCCGTGGACACTACTGCGTGCCTGTTGCGCTTTTCCTTTACTACCGCGTGTTGGGGGTGACTGCTTAGTATAGCCTCACTACGGCGTGGTCTGTACACCCTCATTTCATCCCTGTGTGAGGGGCCAGTGGCGCAATGGATAACGCGTCTGACTACGGATCAGAAGACTGTAGGTTCGACTCCTGCCTGGCTCGCGTCTTTTGTCACCTCAGGCTTTTAAAACTAAAGATTATCACTTCCTCTGGGTTCTCCACACCACAAACGCCAAGTGTGATGTACGCCGCTTCGAGCTCGGAGAGCCGTCGAGTTTTCGAGATCTCGAGAGGTTCGCGCGAACGCTGACCGGATGCCGAGGCCCGCCGCGGGCCAGGCCGTGTCCCGGGCGCGGCGGGAAAGCCAAGGTCAGGGGCCGTTCCCGCGGCTCCAGGTGGGAAGCCGGGTGGTGGAAGCCGCAAAGGGCGGCCCGCAGTTCCCGTGACGAAACTGGTGCAAAGTCCAGGGCCGTTTCCACAGTTTTAAGTCCTTGGGTCTTGCAAGATGCTTGAAGACATTAGTCACTATGCAAACGCCCCTCGCCGCCCCCCCAGTGCAGAGGGCAATAAGTTAAGGTTATTTGCAATGACTTTTTGGCCGGGGTCCTGCTTTATTTCATTTTAACAAAGGTGCTGAGCTCCTCAGTTGAGCATGAAAACCATTGACTCATATGGGCTGTGCCTTCAGTGGTCTTTTAATCAAGAGGGTGTAATATTGGTTTGAGCAAAAACAGTCTTTATTTTGAAATTATATCAATCTTATTTGTGGAGAGTTTACAATTATTTCTTAAAACTCCCTAAAATAGCAATACCTAGAAGTAAAAATTTAAATAAAAGGTGAAGTTCTGGAAGAGATAAGAAAGAAAATGTGAAGTTAGGAAAAAGGGCTGGTTTTTAAGTTGGAAAGCGACTTCGTTAAGGCTACACAAACATGGTTTAAAAAACTAAAAATTTAGGGGTTGAGGTAACAATCACAGACCATTTGAACAAAATGATGGTGTGTTTTATTTTTGTTTCCTAACGAACATTTTGCCATATTCTTCACATAACAAGCTGATTTATCTTTAAAGTTATATAGTGTTCCTGAGAGATAAAAATATATTAATTACCTCTGTGGGAAGTTGGGGAGGTAGGTTGCACCCCTCCCCTCAAATTTATGGACAGAACCTTGTAAATTAGGCTAAGAGGAAAGAGCCTCCATCTTATTTGTACTTTCTCATTTTACGAGGGTGGCAAGTAAGGCATTTATTATCTTCAGAGGTCACTGTCATGGCCGTCGTTGCACTGTGGCAGAAACCCTGGCTGGCCCCACGGTGTAATCTTTCTTGATGCTCCCTGTTCCCTACCAGCCAGCCAGTCCACAGTAACATGGTCCAAGACGGGCAAGATGGTGCAAGATTTCTGGCTCTCTTACTTGTGACAGAAACTTACATAGAGGTAGTGTAAGCAAGATAAACATTTATTATAAAGATACAGGATGTCCCAGGGAAACCAAGGGTGAAATGTAACTGAACCGTCTTATGGTTTTTCTCTCAGTGCTTCTCAGCAGTTCTGTATGCATCTCTAGTGCACATAGTTGAACAGATGGTGCTGCTGCTCCCACCTGCAAGTGCCTGACCTTTATTCCTCATAGTCTATTGCTGTAGATTGAATGTTTGTGTCCCCTCAAATTCATGTGTTGAAAACCTAATGCCCAATTGATGGTATTAGAAGGTGGGGCATGTGGGAGGTCATTAGGTCATGAGGACAGAGCCCTTATGAACAGGATTAGTGCCCTTTATACAAGAGGCTCCAGAGAGATTCCTCTTCTCTTCCACTATGTGAGGACACCCTGAGAAGTTCAGAAGTCTGTAACCGGGAAGAGGGCCTTCACCAGGATCTGACCATGCTGACACCCTGATGATGGACTTCCAGCCTCCAGAACTTTGAGAAATAAATTTCTATTGTTTCTAAGCCACCCCCAGTCTGTTTTGTTATAGCAACCCAAACAGACTAAGACATCTGTCAACCAGAGACTCACTTCTTTGTCGGTCCTCACTGTAAAACTCTTCATTGTTATGGCCTCAGTTAGATGCTCACCCCGACTCCTGTGTAGGAGTCAGTATTACGTGCAGCTATTCAGGGCTGGCTCGCTTCTAGCCTTATGGTTGGGCACATATGATTGCATCCCCTCCTTCCTAGGATCCCAAGAAAAGATAATAAAGAGATACAAAAAGAAAAAAAAGTCTATTACAGCATGGAAAACAACAGAAGGTACAATCAGCAAACCTGAGATTTTAATTTCTGGGCTGTGGGAAGCAAATGAGACTGTGTAGACACATAACACAGAATGGAGAAAAAGACAGCTCAGAATACACATTCCTGAAGTTAGAAGAGACAGAAACATTCTCCCCATGGAGCTCCCAAGAGGTTCCAGGCACAGAGGCAGCAGCACAAAGGTCAGAAGCCCACAACATTGTGCAGCTGCTGCAGCATTTGTCCTCAGCTGAAGCTGCCTTGAGAACTGCTTAAGCAGACGAGATTTACCTCGGGAGAGTCCATGGGGTGAGCATAGGGCTGGGGAGATAGTGTAGAGCCTATTTATAGTAAATGTGAAGAGAAAGAAAGGCCTCCCCACTCCGCTCTCAAAGTGAGCTCCTCCTTGAGTTGGCAGTTTGGGGGACTTTGGCCCGTGTGGCTGTTTTCGCTCATGCACCATAAATGGAAAAGCCTGTTTGTCCTCAGGACCCAACCATTTTGCAGATTCAAATCAATGTACTCCATGATTCATAAATATGAACAAGTGTCTATCAGACATTGGAAAGGAAACAATAACTTAATAAGAGAAAGTCCAAGATGAACAAAAAAACTGACCCAGGAGGAATCAAAGATAATTTAAGGAATAGTACAGAACTGTTTTTTAAAATGTTAATTGATATCCTCAGGGACATCTAAGAGGATATTACAGCAATAAAAAACCAGAATAAAGTATTATTAAGAGGAGCAGCAAGAGAATAATTGAGTTCTTGAAAACTAAAGTGTGATTGCTCAGTTGAAAAGTAACATATGGGTCATGGCCGAAGATCAAATTTGAAGTTATAGAAGATAGAATGGAAACTGTCTCCCAGCAGAACATAGAGAACAGAAAATATGAAAGTAGAGCATGGAGGGTAGATCCAGAAGATAAAATGACTATCTAGTCAGAGTTCCAGAAAAAGAAAGCAGAGACAATGCAGGGAAAGGAATGGAAGAAAAACAGTCATCAGATTGAAAGGGCCACCTCTGCAGGATGAATGAAAAACAACTATGCCTGGACACAGCCTAGTGAAGTTTTAAAGCATTAAGGATAAAGCATTAAGAATAACCCTAAAAGCTTTCAGAATTGAGGACAAAAAAACAAACAAAAAACAGGCTAGCTACAAAGGATGAGAATCAGATTATGATCAGACTTCTCAGCAGCAGTACTGGATACTAGAAGACAGAGCAAGACCTTCAAAGTTCTGTGGGGAAATAATTTTGAACCTAGAATTGTGTAGCCAAAGTATTAATCACATAAGAGGACAAATAGATAATTTACACTCGCAAGAGCTTATAAAGTTTAAATCCCATGATTCCTTTCTGAAACAAATAAAAAATAAACATTACTTGAGGATGTTATACTGATCGGGTTCTCCAGGAGGCAGAAGTTGACACACATCTAAAGTAAAGTTTTCCTGGGGAGTAACATCTGTGAATGGAAAAGGGGTGGGCACAAGATTAGGTAGGGGTAGCTATTAATGGAGACCTGACAGTCTCTGCCAGCCCCCTTGTTAGCTGCAGAGCAATTATATTTCCCTTCAGAGGAGTCCTGAGTTGAGCAGAAATGCCTAGGCCCTTGTACAACCACCTTGTTCAGTCACTGGCCAGAGGCTGATAACCTTGGATCCTGAAGGAGTTAATACCTGGAGGCTGTCAGTTAACCACCCTCCTGGCAACTGGGCAGAGAGACCTTTCTTGAAAGGCAAGCTAGCAGCAAATCGCTGTGGTTGCCATGTGTACTACATGTATGTAGTTTTCAGGAAGGACAAATGTAGTTGGAAATGTAAGATCGTCATGGAGAGGCAATACAATACAGCTGTTAACATCATGGACTTGAGAACCAGCCAGCTCTATGCCTTAGTAGCTGGTGATCTTGGCCAAGTTACAAAACCTTTCTGTGTTTTAGTTTCTTAGTCTGAAAAATGGGGAATGGTAATGCTGATAGTACTTGTGTCATAGGTTGCTGTATTAAATGAGTATATAAAGCTAATATATAATATACATCTCAGGGCAATGTCAGTTATGAAGTACTACAGCTATTGGTTATTATTGTTCATTTGACAGATTTTTTTTTAATTTATGAAAGAATGAATCATATTTTTCAAATACAAATGCACCTGTGATAGTAAAAGCCATCTCTTCCCACCTTCTTTCAAATTCTTTAGTTGGTGGAGGGAATATGTTGAACTCTAAGAGAGAACTAAGAAAAGCAGAAGATAAGCAGGGAAATAAATCATTTTTCTTTTGTATTAAACTTCATCCTCTTACTCAGAATAACATGTATCTTTCAGATAAAATTTTTTGTGGCTAAAAATTAATTTTCTAGTATGCTATATATTGCGTTTAAAGATAAATTCCATGCTAAATACAACAAAAACTTGTGAAAAGAAGGCATTTTATGTAAAACTGTATGCTAGTAAGTTAATCAATGCATAGACTTAATATTTTTCATTGCCCAATGGCTTTCATTTGTTCTCTTTAAATGTAGGTTAGCTTTAATATATTGCTTTTGAAATTGT